GCATCCGTTTGTAGTGTAAATGTCTGGATACATAGCGTGCATAAGTCTGGGATTTCTGTATGAATCTGTTTGTAATTGTCTGTAGTGTACCGCTTGCGTTCTGCTTAGCCTTTCATGAGAGGATGGGTATATGCGTCTCTGTAATTGGTAGTGTGTGGTGATATCGTGAAACCCGGTCATACGATCTTCCCACACCCAGAAGTTTACAGTTCCCCGCGGGGGCTTGTCGCCCTCTGGTGATGCTCGGTAAATGAGGCCTTGAGCAAGGTGGTGAGTCGCTTTGTTGGGTGTGCTCAGTCCGATGTGTGCCGGGATCTATAGCAAGTGCCTTCGGTTATCGAAGTCGATCTCCCCTAAATGTATGGGATGTCGCTGGAGTATGTGAAACACCTCTTGCGAGATGTGCCCTTTGGCGAAATTGCGAATCGCTGTTTGCAAATCATTAATCACGTACTTGGCCTTGGTCTTTGTGAGGGCCAGTTCCATAGCCGCTTCCTCTGCTGCTTCGGCATGTGCCGTGTTCACAGTGAGGCTCATGATGTATTTGTCGCGATGGTTGTTAACACCGCCACGAAACTTTTTATGTTGGTATAATGCGCGCCCTAGCAAAAATTCTGATAGAGGTCTGAATCAGTCTGATACAGTTTCCTATAAGTTGTACCAGTCTTGTACCAGGCTGATACAAAGTCTTACCAGTTCTTATAGACATTCATATCAGTCTGATATATTTTCTTACCAGTGCTACCAGTCTCATATCAGACTGATACACAGTCTTACCAGTGCTACCAGCTTTTGAATAGGTTTGATTGGTTATTTCTATGGCATATATTAGTCTTTAGGTTTTTAGTCTTTTGTTCATTTATCGGATCTTCAAGATGCATTACTGTCATTTTAACGGTACTTTTTTTTAACACACTGCCCACATATATGTCATTGGTCATTTCTGCATGTATATTAGTGTATCAGTGTTTTCTATTGAACACTTGACGACTATTGTGTGAAATATTATGACGACTCAAAGAGTGCAACTGGCAGCTTTTGGATGCGTAGAATAAAATGTACAATGTTTCATGGTGGTGCACAATTGACAAACTGAGCTTTAAATATGCAAAGCAGCTTTCAGCCTAGATGAACGCTTTATTCTGTGTACAAATGGGATTGCAGGTGCCAGATAGCAACACAGTTAATGCTGACAATGATAGATGACGTCTAGAAATTTCAAGATACTAGTATCCAAAGCTTATCAGATGACAGTATTAACATAACTTGAAACTACACAAACAAAACTTCTCATCACAGAGCAATATTAACATAATTTCTAAATTTTAATTTATAGGGCCAGTAAACACTCCAAGGGAGATAACTTAATAATCAGTCCACTACTGTGAAATGAGCTTGCTGATACAATAATTTTTCCCAATGGCGTGGATTCGGAAGCCTCTGGTGGTGCTGCAGTTTCTCCCTTTCACAACACAAGCCAACCCCAGCTGTCTCTTCCACATAGTGCTTTGCCTTTAATGACGAGCCACTACATTAGTGTCATAATCCATACTGGATGAGATAATTTAAATAAACAATGAAATGCTTCTTTGAGTAATCATTAATTGACCTCATCATCAAAACTTAATGCCTTGCAAATCCACTGCCAGAAATATTTTAAAGCAAGTTGAGGGGTTTATTGCGCACTTCAACCACTTTCTTTTTTTTCTCGTCGGTCCCAACAAGCTGCGCCGAAAACTACAGGGAGGAATGACAGTAAAGAAGTGCAATATGTAAGCACACATTATGAGCTAGAGCATGCTTGAAGAAACACAGTAGCTTTTTCATGTTGCCATTCCCATGTGCGAGTGTGACTATGCAATGTTAGATTTTGGACAGCATGTGGCAGCACACTGTAGCAAGAAGCACATTCGATTAAAATGCTGCTTTTGATTTATTTTGGCTATGGGCCAATAGCATGCTTTCAGTTGTTTTACACCACATACTGGCTTCCGAAAATTCGAAGTGAGCACAGTCATCTATATGAAAAAAGTCACTTGCAGCTGCAAGATTTGGCTGATATGTTGATAGCAGCATATGTTATTCACAGGTGTGTCTTTTCACAAAGCCCAAGCGGTGGCACAGACCTGCTATATTAGTTGCCTGTAATCCTCACAAGATTGATAAATAAAAAACCATGTACTAATTAAGGCTAAAGCATTTGACTGCAAAGCACACACATACGCACACACACACACACACAAGAAACTGCCTACCATGAGAAAAGTTCAGTTGTGAAGAGAACAACAATAAAAAGGATAGAGCCAACATTTAGTTGTCCTACCTTGCTAAACTCATATTAGACTGGCTATATATGTCACAAGTTTTAAACAAGTTTGGTACATCAGCAACATAGCAAACACATCCAACTTTCATGTGCAAACACACTGGCCACATCCTTCAAGCAAGACTTTTTTTCCCTGTTTTTCAGCAAATACCAATGCGAGATGGGTTCTTGAATAGTTTTGATGTAAGCCTCACACACATGAGCACACACACAGAGCCTGGCAGTTTATTTACATGCACCAGTGTAAAATACATGCCATTGTTGCATTTAAAAAGTGTCGCTCAAGCCAACATTGTCGCGAGCCGCATCTGCAGCCCGGTCGGAATCGCTGAGCGAGTTTTCCTCGAAGCCGTAAGTGTCGTCGGGATCAAGATTTTCATTGCTGTCACCATGCGCATCACTCAGACTTCACGTGCCGAAGGCCGCTACTCCAGAACATCAATTACTAGCTAAAGACTGAGGAATGCTCTTGCTGAGTGTAGCTGGTTGGCCGACTGCGCCTCCACCGCTCCTTGTCCGAGGTACTACATATTGCGATCCAGGCTCCCAATAGCGCTTTTTTTTTTCTTCTTTTTGATCGAGGCTGGGGTTGAGTTGAATCCATCTCTCGTCGAACTTGACACAAACAAATTTTTAACACAAGCACTGTATGCAGAATGCAATGTGAGCTTTGTTATTTGATTTCGCGCTCAAAGCTTGAGCACTTTTCGAGACAATGGTTTGACATGAAAATCTTTTGCCAAGTCGTGTTTGTCAGTCACACTCGTCGCGAAGTTCAGAAAAAGTGGGCGGAGAAACTTCACGAGCACAACCTCCAAAAGTTTTTTATGATGTCCCGGGGTCGAGCACTTGAGTTTGTCACGTTTCTGTAGTATTTGCGCGGCGTTGTCAACGGCAGCCTTCAGTGGCTGATTCATCTTTCTCGCTCTTGCGAGGAAAACTTCCGCGTAATTCTTTAGAGAATTTAGAACCATTACGAGCTCAGTTGACGGATACAGGAGTACACCTGGGTGGATATCTCCACATTCAATCAGAACATGCTCCGCCGTTTCCTTATCTTTCCCGCAGCATGTGCATTGTTCTTCTTCTTTACTGAATCTTGCTTTATAACTACGCGTTCTAAGGCAACCCGATCTCGCTTCAAACAGTAAAGCGCTTCCCCTTGAATTATCGTAAAATGCCTCCCTCCTTATTTCATTTTTGCCCTTTCGGTAGTTACTCAAAGCCGGTTTTTTCTCCATAGCTGCCATCCATTCTCTCGTTTTGCGCCTCGGCGCTCCGCCAGGAGCGCTCGCATCCCATAATAGCTCGGGGGACGGCGCTGAGGGACCGACCGCTCGGGCACAAAGTTATAGAGGAGGCTATGCGCGAGATCACGGCGCGAGGTAGTGACTCTACAGAACCCCTCGCGTGGTGAAGGTGTATTGTACTGTGGTCGCCACGGATGAAGGTGGTCGTCGCCATGGTGGTCGCTGACTGCCAATATGGCTAGATGATTGTAGCCATATTAATGTGATAGATAAATGGATAAGTGGATTGATATGGCTGTACCCTTTAAATTGAGCGGCGGCTAACGCCACCTAGCCTAACCAACGCAATTATGGCCAACGTTACTAGATACTTTATCTAGTATCTAGTAACGTTGATTATGGCGACACACCGCATGACCTCTGAAATTGCCACCCGTCATTGCGCGTTTGCCATCTCAAAGGCTATGCACAGCGTCACCATTTCACAGTAATGGCATTCATTGTTTATATATTATTTGCTGTGAGCTCTAAAAAAACTACCCTCTAAGGTTGTAAAAACATAAAGTAATTGTTTCTCAAATAAATATTTTTGTTTTCAAAAACTAAGTTGCGTCGTGTTGAGGAAGAAGTCGTGGACTCGTGGTGGCATAAACTACTTGGGAGATCCAGAAATGGCACTGCCATCGTCATCAATAGCAAGTTCGTGGCGACCTAGGTGCGTGTGTAGTGCATGTGAACATTGTTGCGTCTCTTAATTGCTCAGTATCGCGCCTGTACACTCACAATTCTCCAAGATGTTTGGTTTCGCGATGATAATTAAAAATTAATAGTACATCAATACTGTCACGGGGTCGTGACGTGGCCAAAGACAGGAAACTTCGTGTTGGGATTTAACTGTTTATTTGGGCAAACCTGTGCCCGGTAAAGGGAAAGTCTAATTACAGCAGCAGTCTTGCACAGATAGCAGTCTCGGACTGATAGCGGCGAACGCAGCGTCGGCCTTCGATCAACAACTGACAAGCGGCGAAGCGCGTCGGCATTTATACTCTTGCCGTCGAATGTTCTAGCGTTGTCGCTGGCGGTGGCGTAGGTTCCAGAACAATCTGTACCGTTCGCACAGTGGGCGTGATCTTATCGAAATGATCTACTACAGTCCGGAACCTTCTCGAAAACTGCAGGCGCGGTTTGCGCTGAGAATCGTGTGGTGTTTTGGGACGATAACAAAAACTTAGGAAATGGAACGTGGCAATACGAAGGATACAGGCAATTTTGATCCTCACAAGTGGTACCGGGTGTTCTGGAAGGATAACACACACATCACGCTCAAGTGATTAAGCTTTACGGTAAGTCCGCGCCTCTTGTATTCCCAATACGAAAACAACGAGGGAGAAGCAGTCGTTCTGAAGTTATTTACTGGTCACCGAGGATGATGCAAGGAATGCAACAGAAAAACGACCATCCATTCCGCAGACCCGATTGCGACTCCTCCGATAGCTGCAGTTCAAATGAAGTGGACAATGAGTCGTTTAAAAAAGTAAGTTGCAATTGGTCACACTGCAGCTGATATGCTACTTGCAGCGTAATTATTACCGACAGCCAAGTTTGGCTATCGTTGACATTGCGGCTGATGTGCTACTGCGGCGCAATTACAATCGACAGCCAATTTTGCTCTGCACGTGGTGCCGTGTCACACATGAAGCACCGATGCTCTGATATACTCCCCGCCCCCTTAGCGAATATATCAGAGCATCGCTGCTCCACTACTGCGCGGGCGCCGGAACGTCGTATTGAAGGTGTTAGTAAAGTTGCAGTATGCTGAAGAGCTATTTTTTTTATTCTATCGTGGTATGAGCGCAGCTTAGTCACATTTTTTTGTACAATTGACTGGTTTAAAATTATCTTTGCTTGTGTGGATATACGCCCTGTTTGTGCTTGCGAACTAGCAGTGAAATTTGTGTGTTGGGTTGTCTGCAGTTGTAAGAAACACGACGTCAAGCTGCTGTTAAGCAGAAGACAAAGCACGTCAGCAACCGTTTTAAGAAGCAGCAGGGAGGCCTGCTGTTTGCTAATGCTGAAAAAAAAAAGAACAGAGAAAGGGCTTCTGAAAGAAGTGAATATATATGCTCAGGGCTCAAAATACAAAAGCATTAGAAAGAATAAGCCTACTGGAAAATGCCCTTCGCAGCAAAAATTTCCAAACAGGTTTATCATTTCTTCGTAAGCTGTTGTAATGCACTGCTGCTAGGGTTGTATGCAGCAGCAAGTTGCCCTATTCTTATAGCGTGCAATTTTGCTGAAAAGCAGAATGCAATGTAAGCTCATGGGTGGCATGGATGCATGCATGTTTTTTTAATCACTTGAAAATGTGCTTTTACAACTTTCACAGTGTGGTGGATATTAAAAAGAACATCATTTGGTCAAAATTTCTTGAGCCCTCCACTACGGCATCCCCTATAATCACACTATGGTTTTGAGACGTGACATGCTACGTATCATTACACTTTAATTGCATATCTCAACTGCATGCTATGTTTATCATATATATTATTTGACCATGCATACCTAGGATGGTACCGTGACAATTAAGGGTGCAATATACTTTATTTCTGCACACTCTACTTTTTCATTGCAGCAAAGAACCTTGTCCTTTGCGGCTGTTGCAGCCGCAAGCCTCAAAGACAGAAACGACTTGCACCTTTGCCACCACTATGTGCTGCCACGCTGGAACCACCACAGCGACCACGGACAGCCCTGAAGTAGCCCACTCAAGTGTGAGGGAGGCTGCACTGCTTATCAATTACGTGCCCACTGACAGGGAGGTATCATAAAACTCTAGTATGCTTTGTTTTGAAGATATATTGCTTTGCTTTAATGAGAAAATGTGCATTGACAAACTAATGCGTGCACATCATCTTTGACTTGTTTTATAGGTGCATCGGAGCAAAGGAATTGCCGTTCCCAAGAGGTTGTACAATCACCCCATGAGCTTGAAAAGATGGACCCGTTTTGTTCGTGAGGCGGCCGTTACCATTTTTTATACAGCAGGCCAAGTCGGTAGAAGTGTTACGGGCGCAGCCTCCAATCGGTCTAAAGGGGAGGCGAAATCTCCCTAGGAGAAAGTAACATATGCTGTGTTTTCAGGTAGGTGAAATTTTGCAACCTGATCAAAATTCATGGAAGTTGGGGGCTCCATTTTTGCACGTAATCAGCCGAGGTTTCACTGCCAACTTGTGTTATAATTACTTACTAAAGCTTCAAGTGTAGCTTTTACCTACTGGAGCTGGGTACTTTTATGCAAGAATCCACAAACTAATTTTAAACAATATTAGAGAGGCAGACTGGTAGAACTCCTACTTATTTCCTTGTCATATTGACTCCTCTATTTAGAGTGCACATAATTGTCGCTTAATAAGTGCCTGTAACTTGCTTTGTTTTTGATTATGCAGATTTCTTCAACCATTTTTTTGAAGCACACCGTTCTGATTGGAGAGGTTGAGCAAATGAAGAAGCTCCTCAATAAAGCTTTGGCAAACAAAATTAATGACTTTATGAAATCAAAAGATTAACCAAGGAATGGCACATCAAATAAAATATTTTGTATGATTTCTGTGTTCATACTTGTGTCCTGCTTGTTCAAATGTAGCGGTGCACCTGCCAGTTGGCTAAGCACAGATTTGCTTGTGGGCCTATCAGAGTAGAATGCTACACTTATAGGCTGGCGCACGAGTACTGGTACACTGATAGACTGGTACACTGGTAGATTGGTACACTGATAGACTGGTACACTGATAGACTGATACACTCATAGACTGATACAACTGTCAATAACCTGATAGCCTATCAGTTTTGCTATCAGGCCCCGCCGCGGTGGTCTAGTGGCTAAGGTACTCGGCTGCTGACCCGCAGGTCCCGGGTTCGATTACCGGCTGCGGCGGCTGCATTTCCGATGGAGGCGGAAATGTTGTAGGCCCGTGTACTCAGATTTGGGTGCACGTTAAAGAACCCCAGGTGGTCAAAATTTCCGGAGCCCTCCACTACGGTGTCTCTCATAATCAAATGGTGGTTTTGGGACGTTAAACCTCACAAATCAATCAATCAGTTTTTCAATCAGAATTTTTCCTAGGGCGGCATCAAGGAAAACCGCTTCAGTGTCGTTTGAGTAGCTTTGGCTAATGCGTTGTGCCCTGGCTTTACACCGTCCTGTAAGGTGCTGGGGGTGAATGTTGCGAGGCAATGGGAGCACATATACTTGCTCACAAAAGAACTAGCCACCCTGTTTACGAGGCGTCTCCTGACGGGAAGAGTACCAGAGCCTTAGAAGAACGCTAACATCATCTTAATACATAAGAAAAGAGATGACCAGGACTTGAAGAATTACAGGCCGATCAGTTTGCTCTCTGTAGTGTACAAGCTATTTACAAAGGTAATTGCTAACAGAGTAAAGAAAACATTAGAATTCAATCAACCAAAGGAACAAGCAGGCTTTCGAACAGGCTACTCAACAATTGACCACATCCATACTATCAATCAGGTAATAGAAAAATGCTCAGAGTATAACCAACCACTATACATAGCCTTCATAGATTACGAGAAGGCATTTGATTCAGTAGAAATATCAGCCGTTATGCAGACACTGCGGAATCAGGGCGTAGATGAAGTATAAACATCCTGGAAGAAATCTACAGGGGATCAACTGCTACCATAGTGCTTCATAAAGAAAGCAATAGAATATCAATCAAGACGGGTGTAAGGCAGGGGGACACAATCTCCCCAATTATCGAAAGCCTTCTTCAAGTGCAGGCCGACAATGGCTCTCGTTGAGCACCCAGGATTTTCTATGATTTGATGTTTCAGTTGGTAAAGGGCATCCTGTGTGGAGAGACGTCTTCTGAACCCAATCATTGTGTGTGGTAGAGTTGTCCTCCACGTAATCTGTTAGTCTATTGAGAAACACAGAGTGCGCTAAAATGTTCTGCAGAGAAGTGCTCTTTCCGTGCAACTAGCAAGGTAAGGAGGCATGAAGGTTGCCTTAGCACGGCTTCAACTTGAGGGAGCACTAAGGAGGGCACCTTTGTGAGGACACCTTAGTAAGAAGCATTCCACAATACAGAATGAGGCATCCTCTAGAAGTTGAGGCTTCCTCACTGAGGTAAGGAACGTTTCGGAATATGGCCCTAACTTCTATTGCGGGTGTTTTCAGCTTTCCATTGTCCCTAAAATTGAAAATTTCATTTAGGATCGTGCCCAAGCATACTCCTATTCGGACATCTCCACATTCAATCTGGATATGCTTGGTAATTTCTATAGCTTCCCCAGAGCATGTACATTTTCCATTTAACTGTTAACTGAATGTCCCTTTGTAACTAAGCATTCTATAGAAGGCAACCAGACCTCACTTCAAATAGTAAAGGGCTTCCCCCTGAATTGTCATAAAATGCCTCGCATTACTTTATTCTTGCCCTTTTGTTATTTACTCAAAGCAGTTTTTTTTTTCTACCACTTGTATTCAATACTCCCATGTTCTGAAATAGCTTAATGCTATCTGTCATATTGCTTATGCTGCTAGCCATATATTTTTTTTGGCGAGTCTCCCAGGTATTATGTGTCTTCACAGGGTCACATTTTTCTGATACGAATACCAGAACATATTTTCTGCCCATCTACTTTTTCAAAGTCATTAGCCTCTAATCGAACTTCATTTTGCTCTGAGCTTCCCTTACCTCCAAACTTGTCCTTAGCCCTTTAAAGCCTCATTTGTCGTCTTCCAGTAAACGCCCAATGCGGGGCACCCCACAGTCCTTTCATTAACATCCAGTCCCAATTCCACCTCTGACTTTGTGCACTCCGTAAGAGTTAACAGATGTAAGCCTTGTAACCTGTGGTGTACACGTATCCCGAAGGAGTACGGCCACCAGCGTGGGTCCGGTCTTAGCGAGCCGCAGGGCACGCGTTAACCGTCGCCGTGGCGGGAAACACGATACTGCTCAAGTCGCAACACTTTATTGTGGCAACACCAAACGCAGTACAGCCCGTTGCAAATAGGCGCGGCGGGAAAGCAAGTAGGCTTATCCACGCCACGGGCACAAAGTACTACACAGGGGTGCCACGAGCACGTCTCCGCGGTAAAGCCGATCCACGGAGACACCGGAGCAAAGGCCCGGTTGCTCGAGCGAGGGCAAAGGCGCTCGCGTGGGCTTCGAAGGGAGACGGGTCGGCGTAGCGAGGCCACGCACTAGGACACCGTACCGCCCTTCGGCCGTGCGTACGCAGCGGGGCAACAGCGGGTGAGCGTTCGCCTTGGGCGCCAGGCGCCGTCAGCGAAGTCCGACGAGCCCCGACTGACGGGAGTCGACGGACGAAAAGATAGCGTGGCTCACCGTTTGCTGTCCCGGAGAGTATCTGACCGCTCCCGACGCAGCGCGCGAAACCTCTCGGGAGCTCCCCGCGTGCGGCGCCACAGTCCACATCCGCTTCCGGGTGAGGGAGTTATACGTCACTCCGCCTTCCCAGCGCGGCAGACAGCGAAGGAGGGCAGACATGTCGGGACATGAGAACGGCAGAAAAGGCGGGAAAGCCCGCTTAAAGGCAGCGGGCCAGCCTCAATTCCCACATCCCCCTCTCCTAAATTTGCCCTTTACCGGTCTGCAAAAGGCAGCCGGGCGTCACCCATACAGTTAAAATGACACTGCTTATGAGCGACAGCTAACCTCAGTCCAGCCCTGCTACTGCTGCTAAAAAAATGATTACAAAGGAGAAACAATACATAACTAACAAAATAAACACATGACACTATAAAACAGTTGCGAAAGGGAGCACAGAAAAGTGGGATTAGTGTTCGTGGTGCTGAAGCGGGAATAGCGTCCACTGCGCGGAGGGGCGGAAAGGCGTGACAGTGTCCGCTGGGTGCGATACCCGAGTGCGAGGTCAGAGGTACTGGAAGGGGGGGGCTCACTGATGGCTCGTTGCTGGTCTTGATAAGCAGCGAGTCCGACGAACGCTGCCTCGGCTGTGCTTCGGAGGCCCCCGCATTTCTGGCTCGATGATGAAGCTGGAACGTTGCGCGAAGCCGGGCCTCTCCAGTGCTCAGGGAGGCCGACCCAAATTGGCTGCGAATGGCGTTGGCCGGCAGCATATAGCTGCTTTCAGCTGGCCTCGCGCAGGAGCCATGGTGGTAAGGCAGCGGGGCTTCTTCGACGACGGCCGAGAGCAGAGCACAGCCAGATGGTCTGACGTCAGTGGGTCAATGACCCCCCAGCACCTCCAGCGTCCGCATCGATGGGGGGAAGCCATGACGCACTCTTCGCGGGCTCGCACTGAAGCGTCACGCACTTACACACGCACACACACCGCTGACGGCTGCGCGAGCGTAGGCGCAAAGCGTCCTTCGTCTCTCTCCCCCGGCAAGCACCGACACTGAAGGTCACACACAGCTCCCTTCGCGGTAGACGAAACGAACACGAAAAAAAAAAGTAAACACAGAGCATACTGACACTAAACATCTGGCAAAAAAACAAAATACAAATAACACTTAATATTAGACAAAAACATAGAATACACATGAACACTTAAAAAAAAAAAGAAACACTGGCAGCAGGCAGGTTGGGGTCAACTTCTTTACGAGAAAAGGCCGTAAAGAAGCTAACCTATACTGAGGCTAGACTAAACTGAGGGCCTTCGGTTGCGGAGAAGTCCGCCGTCCGGCGCGAGATCACAAAGGTGACCGCTTCCTCAGATTATACCGGCGCGGGGTCCGAATGCGGTCCGCCGCTCCGGGTGTGCCCCGTTGCTGGCGCGCAGTGCCGCAGGGCTCTGGCGCGAGCTCGTCAGACCGTGATACAAAGGGTTTCAGGTCTGCGATATGGGCACGGCTGAGTTTTCCCGTCTGGGGATCTTTCAGCAAGTACGCGAGTGGAGTGCAAGCTTTCTCCACTCGGTACGGACCAAGCCACTTAGGAGCGAGCGAGGTTGAGAACCCCTTACTGGCATCGCTAAGGGCGTGGTTGCGCTTCAGGACAAGATCGCCCACCTCAAAAACTAGGTCGCGATGCTTGCGGTCATATTGGGCCTTCTGCTGAGCCCTGGCCGACGCTAAACTTTGCCTTGCTTTGCAGAAAGCTCGACAAAGCCTGTCCCGAAGTGCCGACGCGTAAGCAGAGCAGTCTGCCGGCGCCTCCTCGTCCTCGAGCTGGCATTGAGTGACGCTGGTCACCGGATTTGCCAACTCCCTTCCAAAATTTAAGAAGGCGGGCGAGAAACCAGTTGAGCGACTCTCGGATGTTCGAATAGCGAACGCGAGCTCACTCAAATGGTCTGCCCAGTCCCTTTGACTTTCGGCAAAGGCCGCCAACATCGGTTTGAGCGTACGATTGACGCGCTCCGTCAAATTGGACTGGGGATGGTAGGGTGAAGTGGTGCAGTGATCAATTCCGAGGGAACGGCACGTGACACCAAACACCCGAGCGGTGAAATACGAAGCATTGTCAGTGATGAGCCTTTCCGGGAAGCCGAACCGGCAAAACACTTCCTGCAGCTTCTCAAGCACCGCTCGCGCTGTCACCTTCCGAAGTGGGAAAAGTTCCACCCATTTCGAAAAGTGATCAGCG